AAATAAACATGTACAAGTGACTCCGGCAACAGTAATAAGTACGTGTTTACCAGACATTATCTCCCTGATCCCTCTTCCTTCTCTTTACAAGTTTTTAACGGGTTTTTTGGGGGGTTTTCACGCAGAAAATTCATGACGATTCTAGACCGGGTTTTCAGGAGGAAACACACCTGCAAAGCCAATGCAGCACTGGAGGGGAGCAGGTAACACCTGCCAGATTCCCTCTGCAAGGCAAGATACATTTCATAGAATCACAGAATCATAGAACGCTTTGGGTTGGAAGGAACTTTAAGGATGATCTCGGTCCAAGCCCCCTGCTGTGGGCAGGGAGAGTTTCCACAAGATCGGCTGCTCCAAGTCCTGTCCAACCTGGTCTTTTCTTCCTTTGGAAAAAAAATACAAAGGCACAAGAAACCTCATTCTCATCGAGAAGCATCTCATCAGTTTTTCTCCAACTTCAAAAGGCAACATAACCAGGTATTTTATGTAAATGTGGACATTAGATGCAAAAAAAAATAGAACAGAAAACATCAAATTCATTTTTCATAGGCAGCTCAGCTTTCACTGGCACAGCTGTAGATGAAAGTAGTAGCTACAAATTAATGTATCATAAGGTCTACCAAAGGAACCGATTGTCTCAAATGCCAAAAGTAAGACCAAAGACTAAATTATTTTCATTTACAGAAACGTAGAGAGGAACTGTTTTCATGTTCTGAGTTACGTGTTTAAGAGGAACCTAAGTTTAGCATGTCGGCTTATGACAAAAGTTAAAAACAATTTCAAAAACATTTCGGAATCATTTCTAAACATGATTTCAAAGGGAAAAATGCAAACAATACAAAATCCCTGTCTTCTTTCTTTTTTTTTTTAACTACTTTTACAGTTAAAACTCCTTGAGCACATTCTCCTGCAGGCGATGCCTGGAATGGAGACTCTGCCTCTGCAGCGCTCCCCGTCCCTATCCTGAAACCCAGGAAAACGTCCTGACTCTTTGCAACTATTAAGTACACCTATCAGAGATTGTCAGAGAGATCTGCGGGACAGAAATCCCATGGTGGCTGAAGATCAGACCTAAATTTCATTATCAAGCAGCTGGCGGGTTGCTACAAACAGGCTGTCGCAGTAGCTGTCGATGCGATAAAAACCTTTCCTTTCAGTCCGACAATATTACACCTTTACTTTGATTGGAATAACTCTTCTTGATAACGTGAACACATATAAACTTTACAACAGATGTAATTTAAAGGTGCTCAAGCATCTTAATCAGAATTATTAGCAATGCCCAACAGCAGTATTTAAAACTACAAGCAGCGTTTGCTTTGGAAGCCGTCTTAGCTCCCGCCATCGCAAAATTCACCTCCAAGTGCCAGCCCAGCATCCACCACCCAACAGAGAGCTCTCGGGAGATCATTTAGCCTGTTCCTCTTTTCCCTAAGTTATAACAGGCATCTTAAGAGATGCTTGTCAAATTGTTTCTAAACCCCTCTCTCTTCTTTAGATTTACCCAAAAGCGACGGCCATTGTGAGATGATCTACGACTTAATTATTAAATACTATTGGGATATTATTTTCAATCAACCATCCCCAAACATTCTGTGCTGGCACGTATTGGCCCTTCAGGCATTCTGCTTTTTGGTTGAAGCACAGTCTCTTGCTCTTCTTCTGGAACCAGCCCAGGCTGCCCAGAGAGGGTGTGGAGTCTCCTGCTCTGGAGACTTTCCAACCCGCCTGGACGCGTTCCTGTGGGGCTGCCCTCGGTGATCCTGCTCTGGCAGGGGGTGGCACTGAATGATCTCTAGAGGTCCCTCCCAACACCAAACATTCTGTGATTCTAAAAGTCGCTGTTTCAAACACACACGCTACGGTCTATTATTCTGCTCTGTCACCCTGTCATCGGTGTTTTTTTCCATCTCTGTTGTTTGGATATTGCTGTTTACTGTAAACCAGCAGCTGATTTGGACCCAAATCTGACAGTAGAAGGAAAAGCCACAGCATCAGTTTGAAACTTCCTTTCCTCCACCCCTTCTGACAAGTTAGCACAGCACCTGATGAGCTTACACCGTGCCCACCATGTCCCGCCACGTCTGATCAGCACCCAGAAACCAATGCCACCTCGAACACCCTGCTGCCAAGCCAGTACATGAAACCAGCGACATCCCGAACCCTGGACTCGTAATTAACAAACTGCTTTGCTAAAACAGTAAAGGCTCCTTTTAATTAAATTAGAGCAGCCAGCAAATGGAGTATGAAGTGGCACATCGAAGAACAAAAAAGGAACAATTATCTCATTAGATATGAAGCTCTTTCTGTTCATTTTGGCACGACAGGTGGTAACGCAGACAGACTATCTGTGCTAGTGAAACCAAAGACATGCTGAGCCATCCTGCACAGGGCACAAAATACTGCGGGGATGGATAGCAGAAAGACAGAACCCTGATATTTTAATGCACTGTACCAAAAACATGCGTGTGAAGTACACAGAACGACAGCAACTTCTGTGATTATTTATGAGCATGAATATATATATATATATATGAATCCTACTACCAAAGTTCAAAGAAACGTAGTAGTAAATTTTAACTAGGGATGTATTTGCAAATATGGCCTGCAACACAGCCGTCCACATGCATTTCTGTTTCCCTTCTTACCCTGTAGCTACAACTAGGTCTCAGCCAGAATATTTCAATCCACTGTTACCTACCTGGAAGCAAACCACGGCACGGAGAGGAGTTGCCTGGGCTGCCTCTACCGTGAAGGTGAAGAGATCCCACCTAAGGGACTGGTCTCTCGACCACACGCAGAGAGGGCTCAAAGGTCTGACTTCCCGCTACGCATTTTTATTTTTCCCTCTCTGTTTCACGCTACCAGATATATTTCAAGCAGAGAAACAAACCAAGTCACGGACATTCTGGATATGATTAAAAATGAACTCACTTATTTTGGCTTACGGCACGGAAGTGCCCAATCTGCAGAATGAAGTGCTTTGCAAGAGTGACACAAAATAGCATTCTCTGAGTCCTTCCTATTGAGAGGACGTGGTAGCTTTAAAAGACAGAATTTTTTCCAGTTTTCTTCAATGCAAGTTTATAAGGGTGAAAATAAATGTATCAGATGGACAAAAAGGTATTTTACAGTGCAGCTTTCTGGTTTTGGAAACGGCATTAACTTCAACAGGAAAAGAAAAAAGAAAAGCACTCAAACCTGAAGCATTTATAAACGACCTGGTGTAACGAAAATGAACTTGTAAATTAGAGACGAACAACCCCCTTTAGCACTTCTGCAGATATTCATGAGCACCAGAAAGACTTGAAAACTGTTCTTGTTTTTAACTCTAAATACTACTCAGCTATTCTATGGGTACCAAAGTTATTCAGTAAGAAGTGAAGATCTTAACACATCCCATTTCTGCTTCTTCAGGACTTCACGTTCAGCATGGGAAAAAGACACGACTATTTTTAAGGATCAGAAAAGCAAAACCCTTACCCTAACTGGGGCCTCTGCATCACACTTCGTATCACTCCCAATTTTTGGAGTGAGGAACTGCTCTGTCTTTGTGCTTTAAAGAGAAAACAGTGGGGAGAGAAAAGCTCTTTCTGTACTTCTGCTTCTTCATTTCTACGACCAGAATTCCACAGCTTAAAAAAAAATAAAGATTAAAAAATCGAGGTTGTCTGGCAATATTGTGAATTTAATATAAGAAATAGTTATCTTCTTTAGATCTGGGGGAAAAGTCATCGCAATTCGGTTCACACCGCAGAAGCTGCCGTGTGACTGGTTAACTGGCATTATCAGTGTCCAAACACAAGCCTTCCCAATCTTATTATAATCTCCTCAAAAATCCAGCAAAGCACAGGGCTGTTCGAAAGGATGCCAGGTAACATACGCTGAGAGGTTTCCAAAGCACCTGCAACACGACTCTCGAGACAGACGGAGTTCTTGAAGCAAAACCACTTCCAGAATTAAGAAAAAAAAAAAAAGAAGAAGAAACCCAGGGGGCTTTAGGTCTTCCTCATCAGCTCATCTCAAAGAGCTCTGCACTGAAATCAGCAGCTCCTCTGCAGGCTGTGGCCACGCAGAAGTGGGCATCCCATAACCAACACGGGTAACTCAAGAGACGGCTGAATCTCCTATCTATTAAGAAAGGGTTTTATTAGGCACTTAAGGAGACTTCAGAAGCCAAGATTAAAGTTACGGCGCATTTTTACAAGAAGAGCAGGAACTGTGGCTCAGGATTTTATATAAGCAGACGCTGACAACTTTATAGCCACGGTAGCTACCAGTAAGCACAGAAGAGATTTCTCCAGGCAACTAGTAAATAAAATGTTTTGTCCTTATACTTTCATCACGGCACACATAAAAGCATTCGACACACTTAATAAATGTCACAAATATAAAATACTGCACAAAGGAATGCTAAATAATGACACAACTGCAATTATTAAGCAAAAAAAAAAAAAAAAAAAAAATTAGAAAATTATAAAAAAAAAAAAAAAAAAAAAAAAGATTAGAAACATTTGCAGCCTGTCTCTTCATTACCAGGCTGCCAGAACACGGGTTTAAAATGCCCTTTCAATTCTTTCTTGTATCACTGAAAATACTGCAGAACATACAACGCCACGTCAGTACACGATTAACAACTAGTTTTTGAGGTCATGTGCAAAACATACCATTTATACCCGAAGGAATAAATTTAATTATTATAAGGTATGTGTAGATCTCCACTGCATCTGCAGTTCGCTCAGTAATTTTGGTTCTCGGACTGATGCCACCAGTTCATTTGTGGTGGACTCTTGAGAGCCCCAAAACAGGCCACCAAAACACTGCCCTGCAATCTCCAAAGCCAATTTAAAAATAATTATTTGCATCACAGAAGGAAAATAAAAAAATAAAAATCCTAGCTGCCGCATTGTGTTTTACTGTTTCCAAGCAACACTGTTGTTTCAGATCAAACACGAAACAGCCCTCTCGGAAAGCTCCAGTGCTTTTTCCTCTCTACTTACTTATTCTGCATCATATTCATTATAACCCAGTCGAAGGGATAGACATTCTTCCCAATGAGATTCTTGAACATGATGAATGTTTCCATCAGAAAATCCTAAAAAAAAGAGAAAATATTTGGAAAAGATCACTCTTCTGCGTAGTGTCAGTTATTAATGACTAGATTCAAAAGGTGTCTTACTGTTCCGCTTCATAAAAAAGCCATTATTCATAGACACCACACACAAATTCTACTAAGGCTTATTTATACACGATACACATAAATCCTACAATAATTCTATTTAACTTTTCAGAAATGCTAACAATAGTAATCCTACATCGCAAACAACCCACAGTATTATCTGGGAACAAGCACTGCCGGTTCACTGCTTTGCCAGTTATCCAAAAGCTGTTTCTGCTGAAAATTCATTTATTTTTTCTATACCATAGGCAAAATCTCACAGCCCCTTCTTGCGCAGCGCATATCGCCGCATACGTATCGTGACACGTGCCTGGCGTACGTTGGGAAGTTGTTAAAAGCATACTGGTACGTCCTGAAACTGGGAGAGGCTCTCTCCCTGAAGAGAGCAGTAGTAATTGCTTCTGCAGGGGAAAATCTGACCCAGAATAAAGTTAATTTAAGTAGCACAAAACAATTCATTTCTGCACTGACATTAACAAACATCTCTTCCGACCAGAAACCTTGTGTACTCTACAACGGAGATCATCTTTAACAATTTGGGAATCTATAAATTCTGTCTAATAATTGGAATAATATCAAACGCTCGGAGAAAGATAAAGGGGGGGGAGAAGAACTTAATGCAAAAAGTCCTTGATCCACTTCACACAGATAAAAATGAACTTTTATTCCAGGGTTATAATATTTCTCCTCTGCTACAGCTTCTCAGTATTTCTCCCGTCTATCTTTAAAATGTCAAATGCCTACAAAAAAAAACCCACCCGAAATGTTACATTCACTGGACTTTTAACTAAGACTGGTTTTTATGTAACCTTTTCAGTGAGAAACAAATATGAAGTTACTGCTCTCATAACTATTTCTTCACTGTGTGAGAGCCAGCCTCTCTGGCACATTTTATCTTTTGATTCGTTGCTCTGTTGAGATGTTTTTCCTGGCTGGGAAATTCACAGTCGGTGGGAAGCAGGGAGCTGCAGAGATCCTGAGGACACAACATCCAGATCACGGAGCAAGAGGAATTTCCAGGTTATTCATCTCTGCTGTGTGCACGGTCCAGGGGCTGTGTCGGGATGCTCCACATCCCAGCTCCCAGTACCCAAAGAGACACCCAGGTCAAAGAGGGCCAAGTATTAGCAGCCACTAAAGACACGTTTTAACCAAAAAAAAGGTATAACATTAGTAAAACAACTCCTCTGACACCAGAATCACTCCCAGCAACACAACACCGGTAAAGATGTTTTGACATTAACAGGACCGAGATGAAATCCGCAACTGCTCGTGGTTAATGAGATGTAACTGTTGCAGAAGGCAAAATTCATCGCAGACCCGACGCTCCGCCGGCTCAGTGAGACGTGTCTTCATTTAAGAGATCAAACCGCATACTTTACTGCTCATTTTTCACGTATTTGGCTCAAAGAGTTACATAATTTCTAATAACCGCATGGCATATTTTGCTGCCCAAGGACCGCGCAGGACTTCGCTTGAGCGCGTGTTTTTTCCCAGCTCCAGGTATCGGGAGATTTTCTCTCTGAAGCTGCTTTGCTGCTCAATAATCCAAATGCTGGTGGAAAGGGCACCACAGGGAAGGTCATCGCCTGTCCAGGAGGGCAGATTTGAGCTCGGAGAGCTTTTTTGTTCTCCTCACTTAACATTTTATGTATACAGATGCATGCTTTCCTGATTTCTTGTAGCAAACTGGACCTTATGCTTTATTTGCCACCAGTTCCAGCTGTTGAGCCTCTGCACACTTTGCTAAACCAGCTGCACGTGATGGCAGACGAATTTTCATGTATTTTGCCGATGATTCGCCTTCGTTACTGACCCTGGAGGTTGTGCCACAAACGATTTGACCTACTTTGGTGATTCAGCTCTATGTTTTAATCTACTGATGTTTACATGTTAATAATCCGACTTTCACACAAGTGCTTTAAATAATGCTCTGTAACAACTGAGCTAATTACCGACCAAATAAAAAGCTTCTGACGCTTACCAGTATTTTATGTATTTGCAATATTGCTCTCTCATTCATTTTATTTCTTACAGAAAAACAAATGGTTTGCACAAATTAACCTCATATTACAAACAGCTTTTTTTTGGGGGGGGGAGCTGTGTTACCGTGGAGCCTGCTTATTTGCAATATTCCTAGAAGCAGAACAAATTGTTCTCAACATTAAAAAATTATTAAAAACCCACACTAAAGGAGTGAGGGCTGCAACTCCTGATATCTCTCCAACTACAAATAGTATCCCGAGAAAGCAAAATTCACAATAAATAGAGCCCTTCACAATTCCCATGCAATTACAGAAACAGAGTAAGCTCAGCCCTGTAACTGGGTAGATGGCGATTGAGGAGGGTCCGTCTCCACTGGGCTGCTGAGCACAGCCCGACACACCTGTATCACTATTTATATTTTTCACGACCTAGATTTCAAAGAGCTTCTTCAATAAATTCTACAGCTTAATGAAAACAGTGAAAAAACCACGTGGGAACCCGGTACGAAGAAGCTTTAGGTCGAGTTCATGAAACATTTTGGCTTTGCCGAGTCATGAGGCAGAGCAGTGAGGCATCAAATCCTCTCAGCTACAGTTTTCCACGACAACAGCTTGACCTCTACTGAGCAAAACTGCTGAGGTTTTCTCTGGGAAGTCCATTCTCCACCCCTCGGCTGCTTCTGCAGGGTGTCCCACCACCACGGGGCATCCTCCGTGGCACACGGCAATGGCTGTCACAGCTGGGCAAGCAGCGACGCACGGTACTCCCCAACGCACACATGTAAATTAACTCAACATCTAGGAGTGCAAATTATTAAACAGGGAGAAGAAAATGCAGGTGCAGAAAACCGTAATCTAAACCATCCTACGGAGTCTTTCTACATATTTCACTGACTCCAGGACGTTGTCTTGAACGCCTTCCAATACTTCTGAGGCACTCTACGGGGCAAAACGTGATAATATATATTTTTTTGTCAACTAATATCACATGCGTCTCAGCTGAATATAAATTTTACCAAGTAAAAAGGGGAGAGAGATCAGTTAGTCCCAGAAATAACCTCACTGATCTCAGATGATGTTTCATCTCAGGATAATAGCAGCCCTGACAGCAAGAAACTCCTCTCTGAACAGAAATACCTTAATGAACCTAAACACTATATTCTGCAGAGAGATACAAAACTGCTTTTATTGCATTCCACCTCATCTTTTCTAAGATTTCTGAGGCCAAATAAAGACCATTATAATAATCTAAAACTGACACCTACATAACACAGGCCATAAAGTTTCCTCTAACTGTTCCACCATGGGGCTTGTAACTTCTTGCTGAGCAAGAGCACAAGCTGAAGAAAGGTTTGAGTGTCTCCAATGGTGAAGAAGCAACCACAGATTCACTTCAGTTCTCTTTTTTCCTTGCATTTTTTTTCCCAAGGAAAAAACTATTCATCTATGATTGAGTTAATCTAGTTTTGGTTCTAAATCGCTGCTTCTTTATTCCCCCGCGACTGAACCAAAACCTTGTAACAGGAGATGCAGTTATCACCCTCTGCATGTAGGGTTTCAATCAAAACACTTCTGGATCTAAGCTCCACTGGGCGAGTCAAACGAAATGGAAAAAGCATGAAAAGTCAAATGAAGAAGCAGGGAAAGTTGTTTTGGGGCTTTTTCCCCATCTAAATCATAGAGTACACACAGAGTACAGCTCAGCAGCATCCCACCACCAAGGCGAGAAGAAAACAAAAGCTCTAAGAGAGCAACACGGGGAGACTTGAACCCCAGCACCAGTAACGGTAAAGGAGGGAACGGGGAACGCTCCCAGGAGAGCTTCACTGCTGACGGTGAAACATAAAACACCAAACAAGATGTGGGTTTCAAATTAACAACGATATCTCAGCAATGAAGAAATACTTGGTAGAGCAACAACTTCCCACTCCATTCTCACTGAAAAGGTTTTAAGTAAGTTTTTCTCCTAATACAGAGAAACGGAGTCGGTATCTTCATCCTTTTGGCCTAAATGATGACTCAGTTTTATTCATGTTTAAGCAAAAAAAAAAAAAAAAAGGTAAAAAATAGTTTACCCACTTTAATTGCCTTTTAGCACAAGATTAATAATATACTGCCATTATACCTCCATGCTGCACACCTTCATTAATACTATTCATATTTTAAAGTCAGGTTAAGGTAGCACTACCCACCATTAATGTATCACTCATTTAATATTTTACCAGGTTACTCTGTATTTTATTGCCCATTAATATGCATTACAATCGAAACAACTTTTACATTAAATCTGCCATGTCAAACACATTTTGTTTACATTTCACAACAGTAACAGGAGAAAAAAAACAAGCACAAACTAAGCTACCTTATGGATACATAAAGTGTGTTAAACTTACCACAACATCTGACCTCATCTTCCCAAAAGTCTTGATTAAATGAGCGTAGTGGTAGTCCTCCATTTGCCTTAAAATGGCAGTCATGCAGGCAACAAAACTCCCCTATCAAAACCAAAAAAGACAAACCCATCACTTATTTAATAGAAGGCAACATAATAATTGCTATCAAAATGTAATACTGCTCGAGAGCACCACGTCGTACAGCGGACATAATTCTACCCTTTAAATTCATTAATGGATATGCAAAATTCTGCCAGGAAAACAAAAACCACCTTGAAAAGTTTCTCTTTCCAATTTCACGGTTTTATCATCACCTCCGCTGAAGATTTTGCAGCATTTTCTTCATATAAAAATTGTTCAGGCATTAGAGGTTTTGGAAAGTAATAAACACCGCTCCTAAAAATATCACACAGTATCAGGATTTGTATTTGGGAAGTCGATAGCCTGCTCAAGGAAGAAATCTCTTAAAAAAAAAAAATCATTATATTGAGCCTCATCGTTAAGCCCCAAGTTTTAATTTCACTGAGTGGTATTTTCAGATACTGTGACGCCTAAAACAAAACAAAACCCAGCGACCTCCATAAAAACAGCCCAGCATCTCTCTCTCAAACTGCAGACAAAGTAAAAAGCGACATAAATAAGTTTAATCTTTCCTTCTTGCACAGGAAGTATCCTGGTAACATAGTAATTTCTGTAACTATTAGAAGGTCCAGACCCATAAATAAACTTTTCTGACTATCTGCTAAAAACCTGTTGGCTGACTATGATAACAGTGTTCACACCTTTTCTGACTTAATAAATTGTTGGAAAAAGATCAGCAGAATTACTCCCAATCGCAATGATTCCATACATGGTTTGATCAGATTGTAAAATCTCCTTTCTCTGCCATTTTCAAGGTTATTCTATGCCATGCACAGCCTGGCAAAACACACGGGAATTTTCTGTCGTTTCTAGGCATAACACAGAGGTTTTATCGTTACCTTTAGATCTGCATTCCTTTCAATTTAAAGCATTTATTTCTACATCAGACCAAGTAACGGTGATCAAACGCAAAACGACGCTGGGTTATCTGTGCATGTTATGAGTCCTCTTATTTATTGGCTAATCCCCCAACCTCCAGCAGATAAGCTCTCCCTGAATTTGCTTTTCTCCTCTGTAATGGGAATTTAGCTCTAAACTCCTACATAACTGGTTTTGTCCATGCCAGAGAATTATTTTTCCTACACGATGCACAGGCACCTGACAAGAGTTCTTAGGTGTATGCAAAAGGCAGGAATGTGAAAGGAAAAGGCCACCCGAGCTGCTGTTCCGTGACATTAAAAGAACTTCATAACAAACTATGACAAGAAGAGAAGCTGTGGCTGTACAAAGATAATATTTACTACTATGAAACATAGATAAGACGGGATCATCTCAAAAATCCCAAAACATTGTCAAAACACCATATAACAAGCACTCTACATAAGAGACACCGTAAGAGGGCTTACGCCTGCAAGAAAATATTCAACAGCCCATATTCAGTCCTAGTTCCTCTAATGACGTCATCAATCAAAGTGGTGTTTCATTGCTAGTCAGAATTATAACTTTTTAAATTGGCTGCTTGAGACGAGGCTACGGATGTAATTCAGGCCACCACTGCACGTAGATGGTTCATAAATGCTCAGGAGAGCTGAAGACCAAGTCTGGTTTGCTCACGGTACCTTCTCTGAGACATTCACTCACTTAAAACACCTGCAGAGCTTTGCAAACACACACACGTATCTCTACCCTCCTTCGCATAAACATGTCGACCCCACATCTGCAAATCCAGCCCTTTCCAGCTCAGTCAACACAGCCTCTGCCTCCTCCTAACAAACTACTGCCTTGAACTGGCTCATACTCTGTTACCTACCCATTTGGTGAGCAATTTAAGTTAATATGGACACGCAAAGGTGAATTTCATATGTGAGGAAATTATCATTGCCACTTTGTGCGTGGAAAAAAAAAAAATCGATGTGGAGCAACTGTTAAACTTTAATAATCAACTGTTTAATACTTGATTTTAGATATAGGAGTAGCTAGAGATGCAGATGAATTTGATATCCATCTACCAGGAAGCCCAATCTCCTCCTCTGGCTGCTCATACAACTCTTCAACCTCCCCGGCTCTGGGCATGGCACTAATTCGGGGAGGGGGCTGTTACAACTGCCCCCCAAAACCAGGGAAAATGAAGAGAGAGATAGTTACAGAGGAAGGAACACACAGAAGTTTAATGTCTGGTGGTTACACACACTGTTTCCACATGTGTAAAATATGAAAGCTCAGTAAAAATCTGGAATGGTTGCTGGAGGCAAAAAAAAATAAATACAGAAAAATAAACAAGCTCAGAAAATACCAGTGAAACATGGGTGTGAGGGAGTTGTGCAGCGCGTTTAAGCTTCACCTTGGAAAAAACAAGAGAAATTTGCTAAATGTTGTCACGTTGGCTTATGCTGAGCCCCCCAAAACGGTGCTGAGCAGAATGGTTCAGGGTCATTTACAATTAATTCGCCACTTTCCTCTTTTCCTGCATAAAACCAGGCACGTTCGTCTTAGTATTGTCTCGGTAACAAAACCCCCTCCTTTCTTTGATACAATATTGTTCCTTTAAGCCTCCGTTGCATTTCACACGCAGACATCCCTGCTACAACATTTATCTTCAGATTCCCACCTGCTAAATAGTGTTCAAGCCCCTGCTGATTAGGAAAATCTATTTCATATTCGGAAAAAAAAGTACACTACGAGTCATCCGCTTACTTTTCATGATTTTCTTTGCACTTAGCGAGGTATCATTTGCAGCCAGCATGCTCTTAATTACAATGCTAATAAAACTGTGTAATTATTTATAGGCAATATTTATTCGGTAGGTGTTTTTAATATGCCTATTAACTATTTAGCAAGAGCTACCGACGTTATTAAATTTTAATCCTAAGTTGATTTTAAATCTTCACATGGACTCAGAGACCATTGTCATCTTCTGCAGCACACCACTCCGAGTAAGACACAGAAGAAAAAAAATAAATAAATACTTCATTCTCTAAAAAATCAATTTCCATTTGAACCGCAGGAGTAATTGCAAACCTTCGTTTATACAGCAAGTATTGCAAGGGCAACACCAGGGGTTTGCCATCGCCCAGGGCAGTTATTAGCTATTTATTCACTGAAAGAGCGTCAAGGTTTATAGGGAAAACCTTTCGCATCCCTCCTTCCTTGCACAGCTCAGAAATGAAGACGGTGGCTGAGATAATAACTACGCAGCGTGCCGCGTTCAAGGCACTTTGGGAGCGATTTAATACAATTCATTTCTCTCCCGACCCAAAGCAAAGGCGTCGGGTTCATCTGCTCTTTTCCATCCAGGTACACTGAGGCAAGTGGGAATTTAGGATTCCCAAAGCAAAATCACGGGATCTGGGACCGATAAGAGCCAGACCCAGTTCCCGCACCGGAAGACTGGTAATTAACCTTAATTAAAGGAAAAAAACAAACATGAATCAAAACAAAACACCAGAGAAGCCAATTCTTTTCTGGAAATGATGCATGATTATTCAGAAAGTACATTTTCTATTAAAAAAAAAAAAAAAAGAAACATAAAGATCATGCAATTCTAAAATTTAAGCTTAATTCTAATTCCTGTAAAGTTCGGAAGGAAAAACTGAACAGGCACAGGAACACTCAGAAAGAACTTATTTTCTTTAAATTAGCCTTACAATAAAGTAATAAATGTTCAAATGGCCCTTTAACAGTTGCGGGTAAGGAAGTTTTATTGTCAAATAATCCCCACAAGTAACACTAACACTGAGAAATTTCAGAATGAGAAGAGAATTCCCTGCAGGAGAGACAATACATGCCAATGTTTTTCTTCCTTGGGGGTAAAACGTCCTATTTTAAATAGCCTTGTCCATTTGCTACCCAGGAAAACTCCAAGTTGGAAATATTAAGCTCTTTATGTATAGTGAGAAAATCTAAGAGAAATTAAAACTATATTAAGTTACCCTGACTGGGAACTGATAAAAAAGCATAAGCTGCATTTCCTTTTCAATAAAATTTTCCTTATGTGGCCTTAAAAGACTACACAGTTAAATAAACAAATGGATAGACAACGTAAAAAACCAAACAAACTCAAAAACGTTAGAATAAACTTCTCACTACACTTTGCATTTCAAATCATTTTCATGGAATTTACTCTGCTGAAAAGAGTTTAAGACCTTCACAATTATCAGTTCGCAAGGATGTAAAAATTAAATAACTTTGCCTACAATGTGTAGTCTCTATATATTAGCAACAAGTAGAGAAAAGAAATAATAGTTGTTATCACTCTAGAAGCCATGAATGAAATTGTAATCATTTATGGGCTCACAGGAGAAAAATGCATCCTTAAAATGCCCCAAATGTCAACGTTTTGGTAACTGCTGTGAAGAGGGTGGCTGCCCCGTGAGCTCGCACTGCAAGCTGAGGTACCTCATTGCTAACTGTAAAATGAAACGTCTGCAAACAGGTTTGCTCACTTAAGTAAAAAACATTTAAAAGACGTGTAAACGAGGTGCTCAGGAACATGGTTTAGTGGTGGACCTGGCTGGGTTAACGGTTAGATTTGATGACCTTACAGGTCTTTTCCAACCCAAACAATTCCTTGATGCTATGTATCTAAATTCATACATATATTTCTCATAATATTAAACCAAGCATTTCTTCTTCCGTAATAGGAAATCTGACAGTAAACTCTGCAACACCTTTAGAAAGTTATTTCCCAGGTACAGCAGCAGAATGTAAACAAGTGCAAAATGTTAACATTTATCACCTTTTTTCCTACTGAATATATGCTGCTTCTGATTTCCTCAGGCCATATCCTGCCTACTTGAACAGGAGTAAATGGAAGGGATAAAACATGTGAGTCTTTTTTCCTTTGAGAAACAGAAACTAACATCTGCAATAACGCGGGTGATAAACGTTTGGTTTGTGGTTTTTTTTTTCCCTGCTGCTACAACACTACTGCAAAGGCATCGTTTTGCCAATCAAGACCTACTGAGGTGTTTTCAGCTGACAAACTTTGCTCTCAGAGTCCTGGACAGGACTTGCCGTTTCCG